ATTTGCTGATGCAGTATGTCGAGATGGTTTACACAATTCTTTGTAACCCTTACATCTGATTTCCATTCCAGAAATCAATGTGAATATGGCATCCAAGGAAACAAATTGCATATACTGCATATTACCCATTAGCGCTGAAGCATTCTAATAACAAAATATATTAAATGAAGTTTTTAATAAAAAAGACATTTGACGAACATTTGTTTATCATACTAAAATAAATGTAGTACATACCTTTGACAAAAGTTTCATTAATTCTTCGTATAAATTAGTAGAATATAATCCGCAGTCGTAGTTTAAGTACAATTCTGCTGGTAAACCTGGTATTCTCCATAATTGTATAATAGCCTCTAAAATTAAGGAAAGTTAAATTAGTCCATTAATTAATTCCACGTAAGTCTACACTTCCAGAAACTGTAGCTAATAGTATCATAGAGTATCCGTACCGAGAGCTAGTTCACGTTGTTCGTACGATATCCTATTTGAATCTGAACTTACTATTTCCATCAATTTGTTTATATGATGCTCCATTTGAAATTTTAAATGTTCCCTTTGCGATTCAAATAACAAGAACGATACTTGCAGATCTACTGCAAGAATCGACAAACGGTCTGTGCCAAGAAGCTGGTAAATACGATTATAATTATTATACGTTCCAATTTTCAAATAGATTTAACAAAAATAAAGACGAATAATTATTGTATCATCATTACCAAAATAAGATTTCTACAAAGATCATCTTTCACAAGCACCAATAATGATGGAAAGTTGGAAAGATAGTCGGCAGCAATTTCTAAGGCTACTTGTAGCAAACTGAGTCCGAGATGTGTCATAACTTCGTTATTTTGTTTATCAAGAGGACTGCACAAAGATACAAGAAACCTAAATAATTCACGGACACACAGAGCACCATACGGCGCTAATTGTTGATGTGGCATAAAACGAACTCCTTGTGCATTTATATATTCTTCAACTTGTTCAGATTCTTTAGTTTTAGATGCTTTGTGTGCATTACTTTTATTTTCATCTACCGATAAATCCTCTACACTTCCTGCCGGAGATTTTATTAATTCTGTATTTTTTTCGTCGTCAATTGATTTTTTCAGGTTTTCTGCAATCAGAAAAATAATAATTAAAATGGGAAAATCAGAAAAATAATAATTAAAATGGGAATTATTAAGGATGCCAATTATTACTTGTTACTTATAAATTATATAAGTACCTTGATTTCCTTCCTTTGCTAAATTAATTTTCTTCGTTTGATTGTGTTCATCTACTTGAATATTTTCTATATCTTTCTCTTCTTTCTGCAAAACTTGCTCTTTTTCATTCACGACGTTTGTTTTATCCTCTATTTCGTTACTACTTTCTTTAGACTCTTTCGTATCCTTTAAATCTTCCTTACCTCTTTTTACATCTGATTCGTTTTCTTGTTTGGTGGTTTCATTTATATCATTTAAATCTTTTTTATTATGATTTTCAATCTTTTCTTCTTCTGTTTTCTCAACACTACCTTGATCCAAAGAACCTTGCATATCAACAATATTTCCCACTGATGTAGCCGGTGTTACCAAACCAGCTGATCTGACTCTATCAGTTGGACTTGGAATATCAATATGTTGACTTTCAATATCTGCTACATTATCTATATTCTGCCTTGCTTTTTGCTTAAAATGACTTTTATTTCTTCTATTTTTACTACGATTACTTTCCATACTGTTTGTTCTCATTTTCTAAAAAGATACACGCATTAATGTAGCATTAAAATATTATATTTTGTTGAGTTTTGGTAACTTACTTTCATATTTAATAAAACTCTAGTATCATCCACAAAATGGGGTAGTCGAGTGAAAAGATGTTGTACCATGTCTCTCAAACAATGTTCAGCTGTTCTTCTTAATAGTTCTATAACCAAACAAGCATTGTTGAAATCACGAAAAAATTTGAATATAATAAGAATTCTTACCACTGAGACGTGTTTCAAAACATATTCTGAAACAACTAAGCATAATTTCACAAATGCTCTCGTTTGAAAGATAATCTCCAGCTGGTGATAACATAAGAGCTCTCAAGACCTGAAGTATTCTCATTAAAACAACCCCATCCCCAGATGCATCAGTTCCAACAAATCTTGCATGTGTTACAGCATCGGCGATAGCTTCTACACACTGTGCTATTGCAGGATGATCAGAATCTATAAAAATGTCAATATAATATATGTCCTTGAAAATACCTTTAATAGATAAAATAATAAATGTATACCTATAAGACCATATGATATCATTTTATTAACAGCAGACAAGGCAAGACTTGTAACAGGGCCAGTTGTTTCTTCCGATCTTATAATTTCTAGAAATGGTGCTAAAAATACACCTGGTTCTAAATAAGACAAATCTTTCGCCTCATTCAGTACCTCTTTCAGACTAAATAATCCTTTTATAAGAGTATCCTGATCATCATCCTTGAAAATGACAACAAAATATGCAGATTAGACAAATATTAGTCAAATATTAGAAAAAAATTTCAATAAAAATTTCATTGAAAATAATCATATGATAATCGTGTTAACAATTCAATCCGACATATTATTCTATTATTCTATTTACTACAACCTGTTTGACTCGATGACAATCAAAATATCCACGTGACAATCATACGTATACATGTAAATGTTACTGACAATTCGATTAATAGGTGTAAGATCATAACTATGGGAAACAGAACATATGTTTTCTCATAAAATGACTGAAGACGACGAGAATCATTCTAACCTGATGAGAGTGAGAAGACCATCGAGCACCTCGTCTCATAGCCGTTACCAGGAGGCAGAGCTCACCCTCGACAACATATAAACCACCTCCCGGATAGGCCATTTTCACGATCTTGCCCATCTTTTTTTACAACACTTGTCCTTTACACTTACACCATCTTTGCCCCGAAGAAACCTTAGAAAATACTCAATAATCTGTAACGTCAAGTGTCAAGGGAACACTTTCAACACAATAGTCACTGAGTTGTCAATTTAAAGACGCGTTCAAAACATCATTACAATATGCCATCTAGCGTAGAAATTGAAAACCTTTCCTATCAATACTTAGGACCATATTAACATAAATTATTTAATATTTCCTTAGACATATAAAATTCTTGTCATTGATTGTCACAGAACCTTAATTTTCAAATACAGTATTTTAATTCTACAACCTTTTAGAAATTAATTGCACCTTTTCATTTGAAGGATTTTGTTGAAGAATTTTTATCAATATTAATAAAATTTCAATGAAAAAGGATCAAAAGAAAAGGAAAAGAACTTTTCAAAAAAAGACTCATGTTTATCGCAAAAACGTAAATTCTAAGAAAATTTTTAACTTCTCATAGGAGTTTAAGTTTCAAGGAAAGCTTAAGTTTTTCATGAAAACAGTATAGTAATAAAGAGAAATATATCTATACTTCATTACATATATCTATACTTCATATTTATGTACAGTAAGTTCGAACACCGTGTGAAGTTCTAAACAATAATTGTAAGTATTTTCAGCTACTAAAA